ACTTGAAACACGTTAGATATAGTCTATTTAATGAGTGCATATGCTTCGAAACTATATAAATGTTTGTATAGCCGTTGTGTTCGCTTGGCTTGAGCCGTGGCATGCAACTATCTTTGTTGCCTGCTTCACCAATAAACTTTCTATATGTATCTACATCAAGGAAATAATAATCTCTGGTGATGGCATTTCTAGCCTCTCTCATCTGGCCCAGAGATACAAGACAAGAGACCTTAAACGTTTGTTTTCCTATGTGAGTGTTGATTGATATGTTTTCCTTTCATGCATTATACTTTGTCACTTGCTGTGCTGTTTGTTAATATAATTTTTGTTTATTGTGTATTGTATTGTTCGTTTTGTATTTTATTGCGCTTTGAGCCTTAATTATGCCTGAAGCATTTTTTTACATGAATTTTATTATTAGTATTATTATTTCTGTACGCATGATTATGTATTTTTAAATGATTTTAATACTATAGTTCAATTGATTCTTTCAACTATCATTGGCTTTGGTGTCGTTTTATCTGTATTGTGGTTTTCAACTATGAGTTACGTACAGTTCTCCTAATGAGCTAAATTTTAAATCTAAACATTGAATTCGTTAAAGAATATAACGTTACGTATCATATCCAACATGTTGAAAACATTTTAGTTAGTATGATTAGCGGGTTAACAGATCTTAAAATGAAGATTTCTGATAACTCGACATAGTCCCTGATCAGACCGATAACCGTTTAATTGTCCATTAATCGGTGCAATCGTAAATGTATCTGCATTAATAGAAGTAATTTAGAAAAAGCTCAACATTTTCAAATTTTAAATGTTTTAAAATATCGTTAAATCTTACTCTCATATAAAAATTTGAAATATAATATTTATGTCTATTATTTTATTTATTTTTTAAAGTTAACTTTCTTTTAAAAAATGAAAAGCTAGTATATTTTCATGTCTTTTAATCCTTTGTGTGGATTACTATTTTATTCGTTTGTTTTCTTTCGGAAGCTTTTTTTTTCATGCTTACAGTACGGTAATATTAGTGTTCGGAAATTACGTGCTTAAAAATTCAAGAGATATTCTTTTAATTTTTTTTTTAAATAGTCCTTTGAATTGTAGTAGGCATAGTGAACAAATGTCAAAATGAATTTAAACTCAAAGCAAGCAAACATATTCGGTTTTTCGGAGAAAACAAAGTTGATTCTTTGTGGAACCTATTGAAACATAAGTCTGGGTTCATTACAATAAATACAGACATATCGGTCGAACATATTAAAAGTGTACAAAATGTTTAATCAGAAAAAAAAATTATCTAACAAGTATTAACATGTAGTAAATATATATATATATATTTTTTAAATATATAATAAGTGCTAACAAGCTTAGTCCACTTTCGGACAAAGATTGAAATCACTGAGGAATAAATGATTACCAACAATTGGAAATGGACGACAGGCAACATTACTGACATTTGGAAATAATTCATCTCGTTCTGCAAATCAGACGCTGTGACAATGTCATCATTGATAATTGATAAAGCCATGTTTTGGTCACACCCGATTGTTGGTTCAAGAGCTGCATTGCTTTCGTGGATCATTAGAGAACTGCTTCATTTGTTCCATTGCATTTGGTCTTGTTTAGTAATATTTTCATCATGGATTTCACAATTCAACTGTTTGTATATCATTAATATATTTTAAGATGCTCATCACAGCATCAAAGGTGTTCACAGTACTGTTTTATTTCTGTTTTATTAATTCAATTATTCAAGCCACCTCTTGTAAGTAGAACTTATCTATTTTTGTCTATATAACTTTATTGTTATTAATATTTTAATATGTTCATTAGAGAAATTTTGATTTGGTCCAATATGCAAAATAACTTAAAATGACATGGGTTTGTGACACAGCTCTAATGGTTTAGCTTAGTCCTAACCTAATTAATAACCGAGATAACAATTTCACATAAGTCAAATGTTAATTTATTGTATGTTGTTTTTTTCTGGTTTTTTTAAATCTCATAAACATATGTAAATGTAAAAAAGAATATTTAAACTGTATTAATGGATATAATAAATCTTTCCTCTCTCTTTTTATAGCAAAATTTTATCAACAATAGTCATCGTACTGTTGTTTTTCATTCATAGTTCTTGTCTTTGTCTAATAGTATATATATATATATAATAATAGTTAGTGGTCTTATATAGCGCTGTACATAAAATTATTTTCAAAAGAGGCATAATCATGACATTAAAACAAAATACATTTATGAAATAAAGAACAGCATGTAACATATATATATATATATATATATATATATATATATATATATATATATATATATATATATATTTATATATATATATATATATATATATAGAGAGAGAGAGAGAGAGAAAGAGAGATAGATATATATATAGTTATAGATATATATAACTTTTCTTTAAATTGCATTAGTTTTATAGGTTACCTTACCTAAATCATACTAAAAACATGAAACGAAATAATACTTTTTTAAGTTGTAGATTTTAACTGTAGGCTATTAGTTTCTTTTATTTTAGAATGTGAATATAGTTAGTTCGTATGCATAACATATATTTTAAATAATTTTCATACTTTTTAATGTTAATGTTAACTTAAACTGTTTTTTTTTTTTTTTTTTGCTTTTTAATTTTATATTTATTTTAAATTTATAACCAATAATGCTAAATATATTTTTTTTAAATATGCTAGAAACTATTTTAAGAAGACTGCTAGGCTCTTAATGGTTGGAAGTTTACCAAAATGTATTTTGGCCTCCGAAAACATTTAGAAAGTGTGAGAGTATCAAGTAATAAGGAAAACATTTTACTTCCATGACTACATACATCAAGTGTAACAGAGGCCATGTTATAACTAATAAATTTTAAAAAAGTATATATTTGTAATTAAAAAGTAAATCTTATTAAATTTAGAAAAATAGAAAGCTAATTTTTGTGTGAGTGTGTGTGTGGCCATATCCAAATAGCATTCACTTATGCACTTATCCCTTATCCACAAAAAATGTAAAACATATAATGTGATTAGAAATAACTCGTAGTGTACTATGGGACTCCAATTCCGTTCTTTTAAAAATAATGTTATTAATATTTATAAAATAAAGAGCTGGTTGTATTTGATTTTTTGTTTGCCCAAAGCAGAGCAAAATACGCTAAGGAATAAAGAAATGAATGGGATCAATAATTATCCTTATCATGTACATACATATCGGCGGTGGGAAAAAGGATGTGTGAATTTTACGTGGATGACATTTTTTTTTTAATTCAATGATATTACAGATGTTACATTGTCCTATTACAAATAAACAAATGCGTACAAAGTAAAAAAAAATTGATAGCGTTAACAAAACATGGATACATTGGCATGAGCATACACATAAATATCAAGATCCAATCATTTTAAGCACGTGAAAATTTAATTTTTAAAAATAGTAAAATTAAAAACATAATTTCAGAATTTAAGAAAATATTCTTAAATTCTGAAATTATGTTTTTAATTTTACTTTGCAACAAGCAAAAAGACTGTGTATTTTTAATGAGATTAATAACATGTCTGTAACAAAGACATTCGAGGCTCTTACTAAAGTGCAAAAATGGCTAAGAAATTTTTCTTTGGATAAAATAATTCATTAATTTTCGATTTTTTGATAATATAGTAGAAAACATAAGCAAAAGCTTCGATAAATTTTGATGAAGATATTAGCACACCGAATTCCATTAATATATAAAAAAAAATAAAGGATATACAGATTTTGTGTTGTAAATTAAAGATTACGTTTTCACAATTTTTAGAGAATACATTTTTAGATAAAGGAGTACGAAATTATGTCATAGGGCAGTCCAAAACTTGTTTAATGTAATAACACATGACATCTAAAGTATTACTTAATTGTAGAAATCAGCAGTCAAGGAAATCAGTTTGTGACCAAAATGATTTCATTAGAGAAATTTCAGATTTGTAATTTAAGGTCATGTCTAGTGGAAAACAAATGGTATTTTAGGGTTGCGAAATGGGGTAAGTTAAGCGTATAATCGCTTCTTAAAATTTTTAATGACGTTATAACCATAAATATCATTACTTATATACTTCTTTTAAAATAATGAGTTGTGCTGAGTTTTTAAATTCGCAGGTAGACATTGTCGCAAAATGCATGCCATGACTATCTCGATAACATCGTAATATATTTTTAATGCATAAAGATGATGCATTTAATTCCATTTCAGCTATGTCAAGTCAAAACGTTCAGTGATGTATGTCAACTTGTCTGCATGTCTCATGGCAACGTACCTTGTATTTATAACTGGTATTCAGGAAACTGGAAATGTAGTACGTATTATCTTTATTTATTTTTTTATGTTAAATAAGTTATTACGCTAAATTAATTATACTTACTAATTTGTATTGGCAAAAGTAAATTTATACAAACAATATAGTTATCCTTAAAAAAATTGAAATCAACAGATTGTAGGAAAAGATCCGCATTTTTGGTACTCACATTTTTATTCTTAAACATATCTTGAAATTTATGGTTGTAAATAGTTATAATAATAATTAATTACATTTTTTGCCTTCAATAATTTTAATGATTTAATTTTGATGCATAAGTTTACACATATGTATTTCGAAATATGATAATGATTGCAATTATTGTTTTGCGTGCAGACTATCTGCATACTTATAGCTGTACTACTCCACTATTTACTACTACTAGCCTTCATGAACATTCTGGCAATAGGAACCAGCATACTACACTCAGCTACGTCAGTGTATGAAAACTGGTTAATGAGAACTTTACTTCCAATGATACACGTAATAGATACACCATACAATGGTAGTTATTTTGATTGTAGTCATTAAAAGTTATAATAAAAGTATGCAATATATCTGTAGTTTTCTGAAAAAAAGTTATTGAAAAAAATAAACCTAAGCCAAAAATTAATATTTAAATATATCTTATATCAAAACCTTTCAGGGATTCCAATTGTGATTGTTGGAATTTGTCTGGCAGCAACGGAAATAAAAGGATACGGTTCAAAATCATTGTGAGACTCGATGGATATGTAATTAGGAATACAAATTAAAGGAAGCTTAAAAATAATAACAATATTACCAAATAAGATTAAAGTAGTATGTGATTTTTTCAAGAAATAATTTAATGCTGAATTAATCTAAATGGTATTGTGGCTTCATTTACTATATTTTGATTTTTCTTTTCTATAATTAAAACATAGTTACAACCATAGGACATGTTGCCAGAAGTCTTTAAACATGTGCAACGTTTACAATTAAAATTTGAATTTCTTTCTTAAAAAATAATTTAATGTTGTTTAATAATGTATCAAATATATATATATAAATTTAAATCATACTTTTTATAAACTCTTTAGATGTTGGCTTGTAATAGATGATGGAGTCAGGTGGGCATTTATTGGTCCAGTTATCGCTGTCACCTAGGTATTTATTTTTGATTTACTTTCAAATTATTGCTCTCGTTTTTTTAAACATTGGTGATATATTAAACTTAGGGACCCGTAAAACTTGTTAAACATTTGTTTAAATCATATATATATATATATATTTGTGTGTGTGTATATAATAAATATATGGTTATTTAATACCATTATTATGTGGTCATATTTAAGGTCAACATAGTTGTCATCATTTCTGTGTTACGTATCATGCACTCTAATCGAGCCATGATGGTCAAGACAAAAAGAGACACAATTATGTATGTATGACGCATTTGTAAAATACACATTTATGTTATCGTTACGGGTTATATGAGAGTATTAAAACTTAAATTCTTCAAAAATTGATATTATTTGTGTTTTATTATTCATGAAACAGAAGCAGTATTAGAGCTGTCAGTGTTATGTCCCCCGTTCTTGCAATGACTTGGATATTTGGCATTCTGGCAGCCAGCACAGATTACATTGTGTTCATCTATTTGTTTGTCATTGGAAATACCCGGCAGGTTATAGTGAATTCTCCATGGTCGTAAAATTAATGACATGCATAATCGTAAAATGTACGTTCTCCCTTACTAAATAGGGACTTGGCAATGTTTATGTTTTGTTATGAATTTTTCTTTTTTTCAAATACGTCTACATTGTAAAGGTCCAATTAAGGTGTTTTACATTTTACGGGGCTGTGGAATCATTCATGTTGGTATTTTTTCTGAATCTGTGGTTAACCCTAAAAAATAAATACATTAAATACTTTTAATTATAAATTTTTTCATTAAATTCTACATGGTCTTCTTATTTTTGTTTTCCAATGTTGTCTTCAAGAAAAGGTATTTAAAATATGAATTAAATTGCAAAATATGATAATTGGTGGTGATAAACAAATAGGGAAATGTTCAGTCTTTTTTTTTTCTTTGAAATGAAAATTACTTAATATAATTTTCAAGCCTGTAATTTACATCTGTCAATGTATATATTTTTAAAAAATACAAGTTTTCTTCAAAGTTAATGTTTAGATGAAGAATTTCGAATCAAAGTAACCTATCAAAAATTTTTTTCAATTTTAATTTGCTTAAATTAGAGAAAATATTGTTAAGCGAGCTGTCAAACAAACTACTTAAACATGTCCTCGTGTTTTTTTACTTTACTTTAATTTACACTTATTCCAAATGAATAACTTTCAAACCAAGATATTTACCGCATGGATATATTATTGTTTAATTATGTTCAAAGGAAATACTTTATTTGTTTCTTAGGTGAGAGATGGACTTAATGCTTTTTATCGGAGACTGACCATTAACTCATTTTGGTCAAGTTTTGCAGCTTCGAATCCTGCTAGCAATAATGTGAATATGAACATGTCATATTTTAACATATCATATTTTAACTTGAATTTAGAATTTAAAACATAAACGGTGCTAAAGCTTTCTTTAAATTTGACCGTCAAGTTTTGCATGAAACGCAGTTGACTTTTTCTTTATCATTTCTAAAAAATTTATAAAACAATAAAACCAGATTATTTTAAATCATTTAGTTTGAAATTAATATTATATTTTCATTTTCCATTATATGTTTAAGTTTAATTAATGTGACTTTTTACATACCCAAATACCTCAGTCTATAGGAGCCTAAAACAGCGCAATATTTTTGATCATACGAAATATATATATATCAATGTATAATTGAACAATAAAATTTGAATTTTAAGTAAATAAATTTACACATTCATTTTATTCTTTTACTACCAAAAAGTACACCTTCGAAAAAGATCGGTAAAATGCACCTGACGATAATCAAATATTGTATCATAGTTTATTTAAAATTATATATTGTTTAATCTTTTGATATAAGTCCTCTCGAAATTTCTAATTTCATGAAAAAAGATATAAATTGTCCATTTTGAAAACATTTGTTTCTGAACCTTAATTTGCAAGTATTTCCTTTTTCAGATGGCGATTGAAAGTTTTGGTTTGGTGCAAGAAATTGTGGTGCAATGACGAATGAGAAAAAACTACTTTGTATTCTCCTTTAAAAAAAAATAATATTTGTGTATTGATTATACTAAAGTGGACCTAGCCCCACTCGTTTTGTTTGGAAGTAACAAGGAGTCGCGAACATGCTGTCTAACACATGGTTTTTTTTTTTTTTTTTTTTACTTTGCTGTTTCTTTTCGTACTTTTTTTTGTTCTTTTCGCTTAAGAAGGCTCTTTTCCCAAAGGTTCTCGTTTAATTTTTTCTTTTTAGAGCATGTTGGAAACAAGAACAAGTTACAACCTCAGCAGTGTGCCAGGAGAGAAAATATATGACGACTACTGGGGGGGGGGGGTGTAAGGTGAAGTTCCAAATAATTTATTACGAAACCTGGTGACAACATCCCAGTCGGTTTCTAATATGAAAAAACTTTACTTACATGTTGAATTTGTTTGGTCCCATGAATTAGGCTTTAAGATAGACCAAACATGTTTTTTTTTCCAAATACATGGAGACGTATTGAATTATTTTTTGTGTTAAAAATATTATTTTTAGAAAAACACTTCTCAATGGCAACAATATTTTATTCGTTTGCGTGCCTGTGTGTTTGTGTGTGTGTGTGTTCTGCATTAAATGGATCAGTCCCAGTGGTGTGGAGTTTAAGATGCTAGGTTGGCTGCAAATGAATTGATCATGTTAAGTCATATTTTCGATGATACAACGTAAGGAATATAGCAGCTAATATTTTTTTTCTTAAGTTAAAAATGCAAAACGTAGCAAACAAAAAAAATAATGTGGTCATTTCTTTTTAAGTTTTACATAATTTGCAGATTGGATTGACTTATTTCCTGGCATGATCAAAATCAAAGACGGCTACTTGATTTCATACAACATTTCTTTAACGTATAACCAATCTAAGGTAATGTTGTATTAATAGTGATACTACGTATTAAAGTTCCGTTATGGCAACAAACAAGAAATATATTTGCAGATGGGATTGCATCTTTTATATTTCGTATCAACCTTCAAGCCAACCCACAAACCTTAAGACTAAGTCTAGTAGACGTAGAGGTCCTTAGACTGGATCTTATATATTTAAAATTTAAAAAAAAACAACATTCACTCCCCCCAAAAAAAGAGTCAAAACGGAGATGTTTTGCTTCTTCACAAGTGGCCAATTCAATAACGTCATTAATATTCAATGCTGTCAAATGGGTAACTTTGCAGCGTTGCTTATAGTAAACGGCATATTTTTCCTCTACTGGCTTCTTCTCTATTTAAATCCGTTATACAAACTCTGCTTTCGTTTTCTTTGCTGGAAAACTCTATAGATGGCTAATTAATCCACTTACCGTCAACCTATCAAGCTGAAACTTGTAATATAAACTCGTTGCCCGTGACAACACATTCTCCCAAATTTTCAGCCCGAAGCATAAGTCCCAAGCATAAGCCCCAAAAACCTGCTTTTCCTTTTTTCAATTAAAAAATGAAGGAACTATGATGACAATAAATTATCGATAACTGCACTAAATGAAATTCTTTAAAAAAAAAAATGAAGCAATTACGTTAAGTGCGTACTATTTCTGACTGTGTTAGGGATCTAAATATGCGTTATAAAAATTGGTGGGACATTAACATATTAATATTATTCACGGCATGAAAAAAAATGTTCGGTTTCGAGTATTTATTAAGGGAGAAAGGGGGTGGGCCTTATTGGGATTCTTTTAAAGTGCGTTCCTTATATGTATATTGTACGCTCCCAATTGTGTTCAGTGAATTTGAACAAGCTCGTTGTCTAGGTTATTTGAAAAAGTGCTAACATGGGTAGATTTTAGACAAACTATTGGCTAAAAAAAAGGCATCAATTCTCTATATACATGTACTTTATAACATTGAATATAATAGGAACAAAGATACATGAAATCTACATATACAGTAAGTAATGAAGGCTTGAAATGAGCAATATTTAAAATCCTTACAGTAATATAAACAATACCACCTAAGACAAAATTCCGGGAATTATTATTTCTGCTAACCATTGAATGACCCTATCTAGTACTCGGCAAATGCAACGGAAAACTAGTCACACATCATCTCGTATCACTCTTTATCTACCCAGAAGTTCGTTAAATGTTCGTTAAACAGATGTTGGTCGTGCCAACGACGTGTCACCCTTCCTTGATGGTGATAGCTGATGCGGCTAGGTTAATGGGGTACAAAACGAAACGGCCCTACCTTTAACACACTTCCACTTGGGGGAAAACATTGACAATAATAGTGTTTTATAGCGACCTGCCATCAAGAAGTCCAAATATATAAATCCAGCCCTTTTGTTTAACAATTTGTAAACTCATAAATGCACGACTGTCAAAATCCGACGCATAATAGTACGTTTATTGTTATTACATTTCACAGAAAATTACGTTTATTGTTATTAAAATTCCCAGAAAATTAAGTTTATTGTTATTACAATTCCCAGAAAATTAAGTTTATTGTTATTACAATTCCCAGAAAATTAAGTTTATCAGTATTTTAAAAATTGATTGACAACTATGTTTCAATAAGAGAGGTTTAACTAAATTACAAAATGTGGACAAGGACAACATTGGAGTTCCGTAAAAATTGTTTGTAATGGGAACCAAGGGGGATAATTGAGGAACATACGAATGCTGGACACTTCTGTTGCTGATATAAAAAGTTACAAATGACTTCTTGGCTACCTGTTAGGATAAAAATATATGCAAGGGCATGGCGGTGCCTGTAGCAAGATAACACAATTTTAAACAAAAAATAGTTTGATAATAATTCAAGCAAAACAAAATAATGCATTAAAATTGAGTAATGGGACATGAAGTATAATACTTGACGTGGTTCTTCAACTGAGATTCTTCTTAGTTTTCATGTGCTATTTTCTCTAGTTTTGCCTTTAAATCTGGTAAGGTATTGGAGTTTTTAAGATGATCTTGTTTAGTAAAATTTTCTTTCAATAGTTTCAATGGTCTGGAATCTTTTCATCCCATTGGGGATTGTTCATACAATACGTACACATCATAGTTTTGAATGTTTTGTGGAAGCGTTCAGAGCTGATTGTGATGAAGGGTGATAATCAGTGCTAAGGGCATGCTTGATACCTAGTTCGGACATCACGCCTTCGAAGAAGTTGCTGGTGGCATTACTTCCTTTGTTAGACTGCACTACTTGAGGGCGGTCAAAAGTGGTAAAAACTTGACGAGAGCCTTGATGATGCTTCTCATGTGTACATTCCTCAAAGGAATAGCTCCAGCAAATCTGGTGGAAGCGCACATGATTGTAAACATTTACTCATTATCCGTATTTGGCAATGGACCAACACAGTCTAGGGTACAGTAAAGAAGGGTTCCTCCAAGGGAGGAATGGTGTGTAAAGGTGCCCTGGGAAAGGTTTGATTTAGTTTGATTATTATTTGAAAAACGTCACACGTTTTGCAAAAGTGTGTTACATTTTTCTTCATAATAGGCCAATAATCATGTTCAACGAATTTTTGCTAATGTCTTTTTTATTCCTAAAAGTCCTGACATGGGAGAGT